AATTCCTCGATAAAAATTTAAATCTGGTTTTAATATGGGGTTCTGAACATGACATACAAGTTCAGGCCCAGAAAAGAAAATAAAACCTAGGCCATTAAGTGATTATTCATTCCTGAAAATCGTAGTATTTTATTTCAATGCATTCAAAGTGTTTTAGTATTACATTTGATGAACATTCTAGTGACTTTTAATGCACTTGAAAGTGCCATCTTTTATTGCTACTGGGCTTAATTAATAATTTTCTAAAAAATAATCATGTCGAGTATTGTTTATAGAAAATGATTTTATGGGAATTTTATTAATTAATAATCTTCCAATTAATAAATCATTTTCTTTAATCAATGTGTATGATTATTGAGGTAATTACTGATGTGAATGATTTTATTTAGGGTAATAAATGTGTTTATTTCAGCTTTTGAAGCTATTATATATAATATTCTCTGAAGATCACATAATCATACGTTGCTCTCTTGGCATAAATGGCTTGGCATTATATTAGACATTAATTAAACTATAATTATCATTTGACTGAATGGAGACTTGACAATTTATGTAGTGTGAAATGTGATCATGTGAATCTGCATTGTATAAAGATGTTTGAATATATAAATCCATAAATTTATTCAATAAATTCTAAATAAATGTGTAATAAATATGTATGATCCAGTTATGTATATTGACTTCTGGATTACTTTTTTTTTTATGGCTTTTACTCAGAGGAAAGTTTGATGATAATTAATACATTTTTTTTCGTCTTGAGGATAAATTTATTAGTCTTGAAGTACTGAATAACTTCATTAAAAAAAAATACAGTCATAAAATGCAGTAAATATTTTTTTTTTGAAGAACAAAACTTCGATAATAAAGAAAAATAATGATATTCTGACCATAATTTTATTGAACAAATTAAAAAAAAATGTTCATCATTTTTTTATTATTTGAATCATGAGGTAAAAATGAATTAAAGAAAATATTGGTGCATTGAATTAAATTTACAATGATTCCAATAAATATATTAACTGTCAAAAAGCCTTTTTGGAACTTAGAAAAGCTCGTACCATGATAAAGTGTGGAAAAAATGTAATTTATTGATTGCCCTGAAAAATTATTTCACTGTTATAAAAATTCTATAAAAAAATGTATAAAATATTAGCGATGTAAGATAAAAAAAAATGAAAACTCTACAAAAAAAAAATAAAATGAAAAATTTTATCACAATTCTATTGTCACGAACAAACTGATATGATCTTTCATTTGTAAACAAAAAAAACGATCATCAATTAATTTTGACAAACAGATCCATTTAAAACTTTTAAATAGATGTTTTGTTTTGTTGATAATTTATTTTAAAGCTAATTCAAATTTATTTAAGTTCTTAAAAGGGAACATAAAGCGGCGAAGTATGTTAAAATAACACGTGCTATAAATTTAAAACGCAAAGCAAAAAAGTGAATGTCATTAACGATCTAAGTATTTTCACACATTCCTCATTCTGCCTGAAGTGTTCTCCTTATGGATTATCTCTATAACTCAATCGTTGATTAACATCTACCTACATGCCTCTAAGAGCAATAATTGTCATGATTATTCCAGGTGGTTTCAACGCACTAGGTCAAGCCACGAATTAGCATGAAGGCCTCTTCAGCATATCGCATTCAATTTCACAAACTGGAATCTCGATCTCTCGGGAATACTCTAGTTCTCGTTAGAACGAAACCAATTGTTTCGAATTCAATGGCCAAGTGATCTTGGAGATAAAAACAGCTAGTGGAAGTGAACTCTAAAAAGCTTTATACCAAAAGTGTTGGTAGAAAAGAATAGAAAAATGATGATAAATCAAAAGTATTTTTTTTCCAAAAGGAAATTATAACAAGCATGAGGCATTTAGATGCTAGAGAAGTGGTCACTAAAAACGTGAGGATGCAACCCTTAACGAACGGTGTAATTGACGTTAATTGTAGAAGTATATGTGGGCTGTGCGCCAGACTGATTCAATATCTCGTCTATCAATTTTCCATGCTCGCGTTCATGTCGCTGAACATGAAAGAGGCTTATTTGATTTTAGAGAGTACACATGAATAAATGCGTATGTGTAAGTAAAAATATATATTCCAAAGTACCTCTTGAAGAAATATTTCGTTATGAAAGATTTATGTATAATACTACAATTAATAGCCAATTTATTTTAAGATCAGCCGAATGAATGTCGAGTAAACATCATTATTAAACAAACAACTATATTTCAGAATTTATCTAATGGTATTTCATACTAAATTTAATCATTTTTAAAATTATTAGTCTATTCAGAGTACTTTTAGTCAGACGTGAAATTAATCTTCTTGAAAATTTACATTGACATCAATTTTTTTTAATTAAATATTTTATCGATGTTTAGACAATTGTAATAAAATAATTCAACTATTTCATTAAATTTAATCAAGAATTTATTATTCAGATGAATATCAAAAAAACTTTCATAAAAAAACAAATTGTTTATTTTTAAAAAGGTTATAGGATAATTATTGTTATCTTGTAGTCTTTCCAATTGATTTTAACATCTACTAATTCATATTAATTATCTTTTTCTTAATGTCTACTAGAAACACCATGCAATCCATCTTCACAGCATGGTTTTTTTTTAAAAATAAATATATAAAATGAAGTTACTTCAAAATTAATTACAAAAAACTTAATAAAAACAGAAAGGTTTTCATTAGATGGTTTCAGTAAGTCTGGTAGGAAAATATTTAAAATAAGTTCTTATAAGTAAGTGATGTAAATTTATGTAAATGACCTGATTGATTGTCGGTACAACAATAAAACATTTTCTCGTCAATTATTTTATAGTTACTTGATTAAAAATCTTCACTGTTAACTTGAGACATTTTTCGAGTGAACACCGTAGACGTATAATTATCAGACTTACTGAACTTGTAATTGGAGTTTACAGGCTCATTAATACAACAGTATTTTCATTTGATACACGTCATCCCTCGCTTTCAGATCGAACCTACTTTCAGCTGACTCTCAACAAGACACAATAATGCTAACAACAAAAAGAGACAAGTACATTCAGGTGTACCAAAACCTCAACCAGCATCACATGCACGACACACTAAGGAACTTCTTGTGCCTCTCTACCATCGTCTCTTACTTCCGTAGAAAGTTTGAGGGTTAATAGTAATTTACGAGGCTGCATCATGGAACGCTGGAAGTAGGTAGTATCCAGCTAGACTTTGCCTTTTTGCTAGTACCTTTCTCATACTCGAAGATGTCTATATATATACCAGTATATATATTGCATAAAAAAAGCATCAGCTTTTGCAATGGCTAAATTGTAAAAGTAAACGAAGAAGAAAAATAGCAACGTCTGCTTAACACAGTCATGAATTTTAAACTCTAAACTTCTATGGCAAAAACTTCTTAATTCGAGGAGAAACATGAGTTTTGTTCATTTTTTCAGCAGAAAACATTCCAATTAATCGACTGGAATTTTTAGCAGAATACAAAAACACTCATCCATCTGCTGAGTGAAATAAAACTGAAGGAAATTATTGCAATGATACCCAAGATTATTGACATTGTCTCTTAGCAACTGCAATCACTGATGAAATTGACAGAAACTAAAAAATAGTTTGAAGGATGAAATTTTAATGGGATTTGTTGATGTTTGTCTTCAGATATAGCAAGATTTCTTGATAAAAAAAAAGGTACACTCATCATTTCTACCTATGTACTTAGGAGTTGTCAATTTTCAAGTAGCTGAGTTTATTTTTGTACACGAACAGCTTTCGGTCAGTCGTGATGTTTTTGGGTCATGGCAATGTAAACTGCTCAAAAAGGAATAGAGTAGATGAGAGTGAAAGCAGTTGGTTCTTGTAGCCCCGAAAATTCACATATTGCCATATTGATGGATTTTATTTAATTGTGTCCTTTTTTTCTATTTATTTTAGCTTGATGCAATTTCAGGTGTAATCATGCATGAAGATCTAGGTCAGGGATCAACGATTATTCCCATAAAATTCGTCATCAAAACCGAATACACGTCAACTAGCTTATCTCGAGAGTTTAATAACTTTTTTTGAGAGACAAATATGTATCTGTATTGCTGCCAATTTTTTTTATGCAAATTTTTATCAATTTTTCAGGGTCTAATAAATAGAAGTAGTTTGTGAATGTAAATGTGAATTCTCTCATGTGTCTATGTGAATTATGTCGCGTTCGTGCTTAGCTTTGGTACGAAGCACATTTCAATTAAGATGGCGGTTCTTATAGCAAGTGTCAGTAGTACAAAATTCATTCAGAATGTAAATCGGTCTATTAATAATTTTAAAAAGATTAGTAATGTTGTAAAACGACTTTCTGATCGTTCATTTAATTCATGACATTGATAAGAGAAATATATTTTATGAATGACTTCATTCAATAATAATCTTTTTGCAGGAAATATTCCATTTATCTTCCATTCTCAAATACTCCATAGTTTGCATAAAATAATTTTAAATTTAGTTAACAGAAAATTCTTTTAATTAAATTAACACCATCATAAAATTCTATCAAAATAATTTCATTTTGACACTAGGTTGTTAATAAAAAATTTTTTTCATTATATTGCCATGAAATTAGTTGCCTTAGATGTCTTATGTTAATTTATTTAATTAAAATTTTTTTTAAATATCAAAAAAAAATTCTAATAAATAATAAATAAATTTCAATAATAAGATTTTGCAATTAAAAAAGATTGCAAATTAATTCACATCCATTCACTCAGCTTCTCAACATTGCAGAATTATTTTTTTGCAAAAAAATCTATTACATCTACAGCTTGTGAGCAATAGATTAATAAATATTTTGTTTACTGAATAAAAAAAATATTTAATAGAGTCATGAGATTAATTTTAAGCTGCAACTCAACAAAATTTTTTTTAATAAGAAAAAATAAAGTACTCATTTCTGTAGCAGGATTATTAATAGAGAACAAATTTAATTAAATTCCTCACCTAAACACGAGTTCTTCCAGGATATTATTATATCGATCGTCCGACCGATTTCCCTTCCAATCGATCTTGAAATTATCCAGCTTAACTTTACAAAAATAACTAGACCTGATATAATTGAATCCGACCCACGTGGTGTGAATCACATGTACTCAACAATATATAAATTAATTTCCGTCATGAAAATGAAACTTTCACTATGTGCCGGCTATTACAATTGTCGGCTCAAAGCTTTCAAGATACTTCCAATGGAAATGATAAATAATAATAACAGCCTTATAAAACACATTCACCGGAGCACGTTATTACTTTACAAGTAGCACTCAAGCGGAAGATGTATATATTGTATGTCTACATACATAGGTAAATTTTCCCAGGATTTATATTAAGCAAGACACGCCGCAAAAATCAGATGGATCGTCGCACGCGATTCACAATGCACACGCGAGAAAGGTCGACTCACAGCAACTTAATCTCCTATTTACGCAATTTAATTATGCAACCATTATAAGCATACACATCTGATTAACACACTGAAGTACACTACAAAAATGAACAGCTTGATTTATTTGACATTAAAAAGCTTCAATCTAAAATAACTCGAGCAGATAATTTGTTGGAAAAATTTAAATATCATTCAAAAATGTATTAAAATGTAAAAGACATTATTTAAATATTTCCTTTAAATAAGAAAACACTAGACACTCACGACGCAACGATCCAGGCGCGACTGCCGAGCCAAAGAGTTGGATTTGTAGAGCTAAGGAAGGAGGTGAGAGGAAAAGGACGAGTGCAAGATGCAGAAAATCCTGCGCGCGTGCATCGAACCCAGACTATTGGTAGCACATATTAAACGTATATTTACATGTTGGAAATATTTTGCTGACATTCAATTAGTTACTTATTGATAATTAAGAGTCAATTAATTGAATATATTAAGTATCGTAAATAAATAAATACCAATTAGCTATTCTATTTCTATTAGTGATTATTGAAAGGATAAATTGTAATATCTCTATTCTTGACTCTTTCAAGAAGAGGATCTCTCCATCTCGACATCACAATCTTATTTAAATATAAAAAATTATTGACATTGAATAAATAGCTGATGTTAAGCTTTAAAAATAAAAATAAGGGAATTAATTGTTGTGAATAAAACCTTCAGTATCAACTTTACATTCATAACAAATATGAATGACTTGAATAATAAATCTTGATCAATTATAATGTCATTGATTATAATTCACAACACTTTTTCTTCAACATCACGATTAATTTTACTTGAGGAAAACAAATTGATTGAATACTAAAACATGGTTTGTTAATGTACTTGAGAAATATTCAAGTTCGATTTAATTCAATTTCACTTCATATTCATATGATGAATCGATTGTAATACAAGAGAATTTATTAATTATACTAATGTGAATTTGACGTGAAAACCGCCTACATTAATAAATTATTCTCTATCATAATGGTGATATTCAATTTGTTATATTCTATGGATTTAACAGTATCATTTTTTGTTAGGAACAGTTATAAAAGCATTCTTCCCGTATCTTACAGCAGCATTCGAAAGCCAAGCAGAGTAAATATCATATAGAAACATTTGATGTTGGTTTTGCTCTGAATAAAGTTGGATCAGACAAAACTTTTAATTTAATATTTATTTAATTTTTCCGACTGTTTAAATAACTAAAACTAGTGATTTTATGCCAGAAGATAATACCTAGATATTTATTGTTAAATATTATTAGACTTTTAAAAATTTAATATCAATAATTAAACCATTTTTTAGAATGTTAATTTTTTTTAAAAGAAAAATCCACCTTTTGAAATATTCCAGAATTTTTTGCCACACTTTTTTTTTCATGTAAATGCATTTTTTTTTTACCATTCAGAGAATTCTCCAAAGTACATTAAGGTGATTACAAGCAAATGAATCCTAAATCCCAAGATCTGGGGATCCACATGGACATGTTTAAGCTAAGGAAACAAATTAAGGAAAATTAATTAACAGTAAACTTTGTTAACTGTCACAAACTCCTTGACTATAGATAGCTAGTAGCTTTCGATAATAGTTCCAACAGTACTTGAAATAGATCAGTGACTCTTTAGCTGCTAATTAGCACACTTCCCCTAACATTGGATAAAATCAGCATGAAACAATTTATCTACCTACAACTCTGCTTGAAATAATGACAGATACTTTAGTATATTAATATTATTCATGATAAACTACTTCTATATTGCACCATAGATATCAATGATTTGTCATCCGTATCACGTTCCTAACTAATTAATCGAATCTGAATTGGATTGGTTGCCACTTGATCTGAGGAAGTTTGGAATATTCGTGCCTTCTATTGGAATTCTGTCTTGTACCTATTATTCACTACATACAGTTTGAGATATGAATGGAGAGCATCAGACAGCGTGAAATAATCAAGATAACAAATGACCAATAGAAATGGAATGTTTCTATTTTATCGATATAGTGTTGTTGTATTCATAAAGCGGAAGTAAGAGAAAACCCGTTATTGTAATTTTGGCTTCATTTGATGGATTTTAAATGTAAATTGGACTATTTCTATTCTTGAACAAACGTAAAAAGTCACAGACTTTGGTCCTAAATCTGCGGAAATTCATGAAAAATTCGATTACTTTGCAGCAAACGTGATAAGTCCGCATATTTTAAAGTTCTATCTTACCTTTCTAGATTTCCCGTAGGTCTAACAACATCGTATCGTACACTAAGCTTTCTAGTTTGACCTCTGGGTGTTTTATTTCCCTCTCGGTGATGTCTTATACAGACCCCAAAAGATTCTTTTCTCTGTGAAGTCTTCAATCTTTGATATGTCTTTGAACTCGAAAAACAAAATTCAATGCAATTACACTTAGTCATCCTGCTTGATCCATGGAAAATTGATCACTAGTTTATTGAACTGAACAACCAATTTTATTGGTAATTCAAGTTTTATTCTAACAATTATTTTAAACAAATATTCATGGAATTGACGATAATGATGAGTTACTGACTGATCCTACATGTCTCACTATCTTCAATATGACTGACTGCTTTCAGAAAAGATGAATGAAGAGACTTGACTACCAACATCATCAAAGAAGCAAAGTGCCAATGAGAGAAACACACATGTCTCTGATCTCCCGGATCCAGTTTGCGGGATATGACGCGTTCAACAACTTCTACACATCTCCCCCTGGATTTCCAGACATCGTGAGATAACGTCTGCTTGTCGACCACCAAGAGATTCTTGCTACATAGCTTCTTGCTGAGCGGCTCAACTACCTCCAAACTCTTGATTATGCTCAGTGTCTACATGACAGCATAAAGAAAAAGTTTTAAAAGCATTTTTATCACTGAGACACTTTCTTACACTTCGTGAGAATCATCATCTGTGGACTATCACTTTTAGATTAATTTTTTTCAGGAATTTATCTCTTTTGTAAGAAAAGTAATACGTTCTTTTGAAATTTCATGGAAAACTTCTTTTTTATATATATTATTAGAACATTTCTCTTCTTTAATTATATTCAAACTCTATAATTTAACAGTTGATTTTGAAGAATAGAATAATCTATGCCAAAAGAAACGTGCTACGGTCTCCATTCCATAATATTTTCGATCAAACTACCTCAATAGATATTTTAATGAGCTCTACGAAAATTCATTGAATATTACTGAACATCAGAAATTTATTCATCGTTTAAATATTCTCCAAACTGAAAGTGTAGAAGTCAAGTAATTGGGCTTTTTAAGTGGATGCTATTATGATCGTACAGCTCATTTCTCCACATCAAGTTCACAGTGAATCTAGAATATGAGAGGGAAATGGGATCTATGGTAATATACATAGGTAATATGCAGCGTTAGATCCTGCTCACATGTTGTCGATTAACTTGGAATAATTTGATGGTTTGTTTTGCATACACAGAACTGCCAGATATTCTCTACTTAGAAAGAGAATTTCCAACATGATGTGTTATATATAGCCACCATATCTAAATCTGTCTTGATAATTACATGAATAATCTAAATAAGGCAATAAGTAAATTACAAGTTCTGACTTCAATTTCCTGAACAGCATAGAACTAAGATTGTTTACTTGACTGATGAGAAAAAAAAAACTCATTACACAAGTTGATAAGATTTTTAGCGGTTTTATCTTGTACCAACACTTAAAAAAACTAAATCGTCTTTTATTGGTGGATTAAAAAAACCTACGCCTTGTAAATAATTTTTTTTTTTATAAAAACTTTTGTAATCTTACTTTCTTTGGTGTTTGTTGATCTCCTTGTCTATCTTATGTGCTGGTTGCAAACTTGCTTTTATCGTTTATACCAGCATTACTACTTTGCGAGCATCATTCCAACTTGTATAAGTGAGTACAAAAAACAAATAAAAAAAGGGAAGCATAATAAAATTATAGCTGAAGGGTCTGACCGGAACTACGCACTGTTTTCCTGACCGTCAATGGAAGAAGCTGTTGCGAGTTGGCCACATATTTTTTTGATCGGAGGATTAAACTTTATTCTTCGTTGATCATAAATTATGAAATGATCAAAGTTGGCAGAAATTTTTTTTTTCCTGGAAATCGATATTTTATAGAAGCAATTACTGTGAAAAAGATAAATTGTTTTATCCTCTATAAATACTTGAGTACTTTTTTCAGTTGTAAATGATATTTTTATGTTAAAAGAATATTCTGTGGTTTATTTTTACGTGTAATTAATCAAAGCTCAAATTGCCGGCAGCTATGGCCAACAGCCAAAATACTGTTCCTTACATTCAATGCAATGAGCTAAAAATGATAAATTCGTACGTCCAAATCATGATCATAACAGTAAAGATTAATTATTAATTTTTGTTTATGAAATTCATATTGCTTATAATAATTAGAAAGACATCAGTATTAATCAACAGTATTAATAATTAATTAATTATAATCACATTAAAAAATAATTGAATTTGTTGAATTGTTAAAGAATGTGAAAATGTAATCGTTTATTAATGCATACATTTAAATTCTGAATGAAATCTCTAGTGAGTTGGAGTGAAAATATCTTCAATGAAAATCGAAGGCAATGTTTTTCTCATCATAAATAATTAAATAAGATTTTTGCTTGATAAATAATTGATGAAAGTACGTTTTATCCAAGTATTTTATTTATCTGTATCACTAGAAATTGATTGCAATTAATTTTTTTTCCTAAAATATTTACCTTTCCATCATTAAAAAGTTAATAAAGCAGGGATTTTTTATTCATAAAGTAGAGTTTACTTTTATAAACATGATTAAATTTTATACACTCTATTTCAACCATCACTTGCTTTTAAATTAGTCCAGATTTTTTTGTTTGTTTTTATTTGTCAATAAATTAATCTTATTGACAACAAGTCAGATGTAGTTATCAGAGGGATCAATATGAATCAAGATAAACATTGATAAATAGTATGATTTTGCTACTCAACATGACTCTCCAATTTCCAAACTGTTATTACAGTGAATTGCAACAGTGAAAAAAATTGATAAAAAATTCAGTTTCAATAACTAATTGAGCAAAAACAATAGAGCTTTTTGTGATCAGTAAAAAGCTTTATCAAAGCACTCTATTTTTTTCTCACATGCTGTATTACCTCTTAAATTTTTCTGCGATGAAAAAAATATTTCTTTAAAAGAACACTTGAGACAGCGTGTTTCAGCAATT